CATTGCCAGCCTTGTGCAGGCTGGTGTAATCCATTTGTTGCAATGTGTCCCAGAGTGGGAGTAGCTCACACTTACCAAATAAGTTTTATGACTTCAGACAGGGCAATGCGCAACACTGTTTTTGTTTCAGGGCTTGCTTGTTCATTGTTACACTGGGGAGCATCACTTTCTTGTGGTTGTAGGAAGAAAGATGGACCAGTGTGAAAAAGTGTACCCCTCATTCCCACATGTGCAACTTCAGAATAGTAAAAGCTTCACTCAAAAAGGTTTAATCAGGTAGTCTGAGGAAGAAACTAGTATCCAATACTAATTCTACTCCTTCAGCAATTCTCCCTGATGCTATTGGCAAGTTTGCCAACTTTTGACTCAATTTTTACTGCTGTAAAAATAAAATGCTGCAATGAGCCTTGAGATTAAGTGAAATGTGAGAATAATTAGATGGATGCTATTTTGTTTGAATGCAAATCAAGTCTCCACCAGTACTTCTCATTTGCCAATTACTGTAGCACTAAAAATGCCTGTTAAATGTTGTGTCTCCTTTTCTTAAGGTTGATCTGCAGTTGCAAGAAGTAGCTTTGAAAATGAGACAGCTTTAAAGAGAGAAACCTGAATAGAGATCACATTTCTCTGACTGAATTAAATTCTTACTGTGGCTCTACTTTGTGCCATTCGGTGAGCGTGCGCGTTCAAAAATGTTTCGCTTCGCGTAGAAAAGCAGCATTTATTAACGAGCAGTTGGAAAGAGCATCCTTCTGAGTTCCTGTGCACTGCTAGTATCTCCAAGTGCTCCCAGGCACACTTACTAGAAGAGCTGAGGGGCCTTATTTTGCCATCTTAATTCTGTTTAACTATATGCTTCTATTTCCTGTGTGTTCTTGCAACTAGGCAGCAGCATAGACTCTGATTCATGAATTGTGATGTAGAGAAACTAAAAAGTCAAGTTTTTTTCCAAAAAAAAAAAGAGAAATCAAAGCAAATATAATCCTAATATCTAAATATAAATTCTATCCAAAGAGGAAATTTCATGACACTAGGTGACAAATTGCTGAAAATCATCAAAGTGCTGATGCAACTTTTTGACTTGTAATAGCATAAGCTATTAATTTCTAAAACCAAGATGTAATATGTCTTTTCTTTTTTTTCAAATATGCCAAAATTACCAATAAGAACTGTCATTATGTTTATTAAAAAAAAAGATACCTTATGGCTGTTATGTAAGTGAATAAAAGCTGAGATAGGAAGTTATAGACAAGTACAGACACATATGTATGTCTATATATACATAGACTAGGGCTAAATTTCACAGATGTGGGGTTTTTTTCTGCCTGGAAATTTAGTTATAGAAGGGTCTATAGGTTTCAGTCGCTCATCTGACAAACTAGGTTGTCAACTCTGTAGAAGGAGGTAGCTGCATTCTGATCTTTTACATGTTTGAAGATCCTGGACATGTTCCATCTATATAGATCAGCTTTATGCTGGACATCTGAAGTGCACATGTGGAAAACATGACAGGATTGGAATGAATTCTATGTAATGTACATGTGCAGATCCACATGTACAACCTTTAGCCAGCAAAGCAAATATTTCCAGATCCGTGTACAAACAATCCTATCAGTGCAAACCAAAAACATCAGTCCCAGACTGAGCATCCAACTCATTGCACATGGAACATGTACAGCCTGTGTGAGAAATTCTGGGCATTGTTCTATAGCCACACACCTCTGAAATGTTTTTCCTGCTCACTCTTTCATACTTAAGCCACCAGGATAAAGCAAGGGTTAAGCTTCCACCTTTCTTTCTTTCTTTACAGAAAGAAGACTGTTCCACAGTACCTGGGTCCTGGGTAAGAACTCTAGGCAAGACAGAGTTTCCTCATATCTCTTTTAAACCCCATAGGCTTCTCCTGTGGAATTGTCCCCTGGATTGAAAATGAAGCTTCTTTTCATTATGTGTGTGTAGGTTTTTTAATCTCAGTCTTCTGGTCCTTGTCAACAGTTTTTGACCATCTTTTACGTGTATGAAAAATTGAGTATTCTCCTGCTTATTCTCTAAGGAAATAGTAGAATTTTTTTATTTCTGATTGGATTTATATAGTTTTGATTTCCTTCTTGTTTGATAAGCCCTTTCAAATCTAGAGGTCAACTTTAAAATAGGACAAAGTCAAAAATCCAATTAAACTGCTCTGAGGGTGTCTTAAAATTCTAAATGAAAAATATGTCTGTCTAAAACAATTACTGAAACACATAAATACTGGGGCTGTGTTTTGTTTTGCTTTTGGTTTCCTTGTTTTTAAGACCAAACAAATTCAAGTACATCATATCCTCTGGATAAATATCTCTTCATTCACATCAAAGTCTTGTTTGTTCATACTAATGCTGTTTCCATGAAAACCTGGATATGTTGGTTAGGTATAACACAATAGGAAATCACCCACTTGTTTGAAATTCTGTATCTTAAGGATACCAGAAATGCTGCTTCTTAGGGCATGGCTAAACAGCCCCTTTAATTCACCAGGACATTTTAATATCTTGTCTGAACTGCTAACTCATCTCACTGCATTGCTCATTTTTAAAAACCTTTCTAAAAGAGTTCTGCTCCTGAAATAAACTTCATTATCTGCAGGGTAAATTGTCTTGTAGGAGAGTGGACTCTAGTTTTTTCCTGCAGCTAACATAGAATTACAGTATTCAAGAATTACTTCTTTTTCTTGTTAGAAGTTGAATCTAATCTTCCAAGTAGAAGAGTTTTTAAAACAGTAAACTGTTCTGAGATCAGCCATTTTTAAGGCAAATCTCTTCAGAGCCATTGAATATTGTGCCTAATCCTCTTGGCTGCAGTTTGTTTATGGCAGAAATGAATTTACTGTATCTCCTATAAAACCCTTGTGGAGTGTTCTTACAGTATAAAATGGGAGCTTAGGAGAATTACAGTCTGGGGAAACTGGATTTGATCTCAGCTGAAAACTGGTGTGTGGCCTTAATAATCCTAGCAACATATTTCCTTTGATAGTGTTGCCTTTTGAAGAACTGATAGGCCTTATTGTATTTGCAGGTGACTGGTAGGGGGATAAGAGCAGATGAAACAAAGGGATAAACAATATTGTATTACTCCTTTATTAAGAAATTCTTCAATAAAACTGTTGTTGCTATGAAGTATTGAGTTATTAAAGGAAACTGGATGGACTGAAGTATCATGAGTAATTTGTAATGGGAATGTCTTTCTCAGCCTTTTTTCCTTCTTATTACACTGTCAGTTATTCTGTCTGTCTTAATTCCTTCACTATTCATTTTTTCATGTTCCTTTCTCTGTTTTACGTTTTTTGTCAACCTGTGGCAGGGAGACCTAATTGTAATACCCAAACTTTGGTTCAAACTGCTGTTCCAGGAAGTTCAAACAATCTAAGAGATTGTAAGTTTTTTGATAAGGCTACTTCAAAATCAAGCAATTATTGGTTTAAATGCTGTTGCTGTTTTACTTCTGGGATTGCTTTAGGAGAACTAGAAATTCTAAGATAAATAAGAAATTGAAATTTTATATCTGAAAACTGATTCTGTGCAGAAACATTTTTTAAGTATTATTGAACATTAAATTTTATTAACAATCCCCAGCTGGAAATTATAACTTTCTTTTCCAGGAAAAAAAAATATTTTTAATACTTTCATGTGTCAAAAGATGAGAAAAATGTTTATCTGAAACAAATCAAGGCAATTGGTATATCAAGTATTGTATGTTAATTTGTAGGTTTCTTTACAAAACCTATAATTTGAATATTTGAAATATTTCCTATTAAGCAAGCCTATGGTCTCATCAGAAATGCAAATGGTTTGGTAAAAAGAAATTAAAAGGCACTTAAGTTTTGCTGTAACCACTTGTGAAACCTCTTGCATGACCAACTAAATGCTTAAGTGGTGGCTAATATTTTTAATTGAAAGAGAAAACAAAAGTACTAAAAGTATGTGTAACTGTATGCAGCTAGAAAATAATTGATTTTTAGAATACTTTTTGTTGTAAGGTCAAGTCTGTCTCCTGTTCATCAATCCTGAATAAGCACAAATGGCTATTTTTGGACAAGATTACTTCTATTGGCTGGTTTGGATGAAAGCACATATCCATTATCTTTAGTACAGTTTGTAACAGGTATTTCTTTAAAATTGTAGGAATTAATGTGCTTTTAAGGTAAATGGTTCCTCTACTCAGTCTACAGCAAGCAGGATCAGATGCTTTAGAGAAAGAGAAAAAATGTGAAACGTGTCAAACACAGAATAATCATTCCAGGCAGGAATCTTTCCTATCACAGTCTGTCTCTTGGCAGAGGTGTTATCAATTTGGGGTAGGATGAAAATTCTCCCTTAGTTTTTTCTTGCTTCTTTTTTTTCCTAGTTATGCTGGCCAGAGAAAAGTATACTTTTTTGGCTCTGAGACTTAGCTGTTTTCCAAAAGATAGCATTTGTAGTGTTCTGCATTCCTGATCGGTGTTGTATCATTAAGGTGTGTATTGAAATGCAGCAGTCAATAATATGCTGAGTCTGCTACTCATGGTGATCCCTTTAAAGAAACACTGAACATTTTTTTCAATTAACAGAATTCAAATAATGCTGAGCCCTCCCAGCACTGTGTCTTCATATCCACATGCAGGCAAATGCTTGCAGTACTTGTGCTCAGCGGTTGGTTGTTTTCTCAGTCAGGGTATTTGCAGGGAGGGAGGGGTTGCTACTGATTTTTGCTTTTGACAAGTGTAATCACAGTCTAAAATATCCTTGTACTGACAAAGGTATTGTCATAAATAAGTAAATAATTTTCCTAAACTGTCTTCTTCCACTTAAAACGTAGTTAGCCAAAATGATTCCTCACTTTTTAAAGCCTTGACATAACTAGCTTATTTTTGAACCTCTGGAATACTAGTATTCTTGATCTAATGTTCTTGATCTAAATTTAATTTTTATATGATGATAAATGTTATCTTATCCTTGTTTGATCTTATTATTTGTTTTCTTTGAAAGGATGCTTTTGAGGTGAAATCTGAGGAGCGTGCCAGTGTCATCCAACAACTTGAGCAAACTATTGAGGATCTGAGGACAAAAATTGCAGAACTAGAGAAACAATTTCCTGCTGCAGAGGTACAGACTGCTGGGAGGGAGCAGGAAAGTGGCCACGCACACGCAGACTCTGGGGAACTCAGCAGCGTGACTCTTCAAAGGAATGAAGAGGAGACCACACCCAGGACTGTGTCACAGGCGAGATCTGTACAAACGTCACCAACAGAGGATTATTTAACACATAGAATGCCTTCAGCTAGTGCACTGCCACAGCCACCCCCACCACCACACTTAGAAGGGGGCAAAAGTGAAGGGCCTACTCAGAACTTGCCAGCTCTAGAACTACAGCCCACATTTTGTTCTGAAATCTCCTTAATTCTGTCACCGAAGCTAATCTCAGTGCCATTGGATGCAAGCCAATCAGTACAGAGTATACCACAGTCACCTCTTCCAGGACCCAAAGCTGATTTGTCCCTTGCATTTGAAGGAGAGACTGAAATGACAGTTTCCCATCAGCCTCTAAGTACTGTAGATGTAACTCGTAGTGAACATCCCCCTTCCTTGCCCCCAGAGCCCATATGTAGCATTCCCCCATCACTGCCAGCGACTGAACAGGCTGCCTCCCTGTCTGGAGCACATGGCCATTCCTTTGTTACTCCCGTGTCTGTGGCAGGATTACCACTGCCACCACCTCTACCTGGCTCAGGACTCCCTTCTTCTGCTGTCTCAGCAGTGACAGACCTGGACCACTCTTTCCCGGGCACCACAATGCCACCTCTCCCTCCTCCTCCACATTTGCCAAGTGGGGAGATACCAATGCTGCCTCCAGCTCCTCTCCTTCCATGCCCTGGATTCCCTCCACCACCTCCACCACCACCCTTGCCTGGAGCAGGTGTCCCATCTCCTCTGCCTGGCTGGGGTATCCCCCCTCCCCCTCCACCACCACCACCTTTACCTGGAGCCGGTGTCCCTCCTCCACCTCCTCCTCTGCCTGGCCTGGGATTGCCACCCCCAGCACCACCGCTTCCTGGAGCAGGACCGCCACCACCTCCCCCACCTCTGCCTGGAGGGGCCATTCCACCTCCTCCTCCTCCACCACCACCTCTGCCTGGTGCAGCTGTACCTCCTCCACCACCTCTTCCAGGATCAGCTGTACCCCCTCCACCACCTCTGCCTGGTGGAGCTGTACCCCCTCCTCCTCCACCACCACCTCTGCCTGGTGGAGCTGTACCCCCTCCACCCCCTCCACCTCCTCTGCCTGGTGTAGCTGTACCCCCTCCACCTCCTCCACCTCCTTTGCCTGGTGTAGCTGTACCCCCTCCACCTCCTCTGCCTGGTGTAGCTGTACCCCCTCCACCTCCTCTGCCTGGTGTAGCTGTGCCTCCTCCACCACCTCTGCCTGGAGCTGGTGTCCCTCCACCACCCCCTCCTTTGCCTGGGTTGGGGATGCCTCCTCCGGCCCCACCACCTTTGCCTGGAAGTGCACCTCCCCTTCCAGCAGCAGTCCAGGGCAGCAGTTACCCAGCAGTCCCACAGGGCTGTGGTTTTCTTCCTCCTCCATTACCATCTGGTTTATTTGCAATGGGGATGAATCAGGAGAAAGGGAGCAGGAAACATGTAATAGAGCCTTCTCGGCCAATGAAGCCTCTTTACTGGACAAGAATTCAGCTCCACAGTAAAAGGTAAGTCATAGAATTATGTAGAGTGGTGGTTTTGCTTTATGGCTGTCTCGGTAGTATTGTTTATCATTAGCAAAAGTCTTTCCTGCTAGGTAGGCCTTTGGGAGAACATGGATGCAAGCAGGGTTTTATGTGTAGTTGGATATATAAATAGGGCGCCCATTTTCTTTAAAGCCCACAAAAGTTATTTGCACATGGAAGCTCTTTGATGGTAGCGTTTTCAGTGTCCTTTGGGGCTACATATCACATGTGGATAAGAGATCCAGGGGTGATGGTGTGCCACCAAGTGTTCTGTGTAATGTTTTTTAAAATGTCATATTTGTGATTTCCCCTCAAATTTCAAGGTAGCATTGGTCTCTCTCTGGAGGAATTTGCAAGTTTTGGTAGTGTCTTCCTTCTAGATGGATCTATGCTGAACACATTCTATCCTTCTCTTTCTTTTCTTCAGTGACCTTGAAATACTTTTTTTTTTTTTTTTTTTTTGCACCTTGTACACTCAACAGACTCAGATTCAATCTGCAATTTATTTGCATAAAGCAATTCTGATAGCTTTGATATGACTTGGTTTCAGTTGTTGATGTTTTTGGGGGGGTTTTGTAAAAGATCATTGCTGGTCATGAAAAAAGTTTCCTTGTAAATATTTTTCTTATATCTCTGACTAGTAATTATAAAACCCATCTGCTGTTATTTAATGATGAATTTATTATTTCTTCTGAAGTTCTTGCCACTGTTGCACAGGTGGTCAGTAAATAACTGTCTATTTCTACTTCTCTTCCTGTCCATGTCTGTACCTTTTATAGCCTATATACAGCCTATTTTTATTCCTAGGCATGTAGAGTGGGTGAATATAAATAAGCCTGACAGTATCACACATGAAAAAAGAAAACCCAGAAGTGTGAGGAAGAATCAACAGTAGTTTTTATCAAAATGCTGCTGGTAGAATTTAGGCTTATAAATTGCTGCTATTTAATTTTTTTTTAATTCCTCCATTTATGACCTTATTTAGTTTGACATTGCCCTACATAGGTCTTTTGCTTAACTTTAGAGATTCTAGTGCTTCACTTGTGTGGGAAAAAATTGAAGAGCCTTCCATAGATTATCATGAGTTTGAAGAACTGTTTTCTAAAACAGCTGTTAAAGAGAGGAAGAAACCCATTTCGGACACCATTACAAAAACAAAGACTAAACAAGTGAGTATTCATTTAATTTAAGATCTTTTCTAGGCTGTTTTTTACATAGATTTTTGCATGCAGCTGAGATGAATTATGTCTGGTGTGGAATTGTTACCATATATAAATACACATTATAGAAAATTGAGAGAAGGAGAGAATGTAGGATGTATTTCAAAGCTGTATGTATTAAAGGCTGAAGATTTCTTTTTTCATAAATTACTTTTCAAGTATGTATTTTCTTAAAAATATCTTTGCTTTATCCACTTTAACAAAAATAATACTAAAATAATTAGGTGCATATATGATGCTTTGAAATTGACTGCAGATGTGCAAGGAGTAGTATATATATTATTCTGATTAATTTTATACATTAAATAATGACTTGCATATGAAGTACCGTGACTTCAGAGAAAAATTATGCTTCAGAATCTAATTCCTAGTGTTATACCAATCAGAATGGTTTAGGATTGTGTTGTGTTTATGCGTATAAAGAATATGAAGTTTATATAGACAATAAATGACAAGCACAGCTGGGAAAAATCCAACATTAATCAAACCAGTTTCTTGAGACAGAATGGTGTTCAATATAATAAAAATGGGAAGAACACTTTAAAATGTAGAAGTTTAAACCCCAGAGTAAAAGAATTTAATCCTAATGTTTACATGACTATTTGGCTGTAATCATCTTGGTGTCTGTGTAAAAATCAAGTTGTGGTGGTATGCTAAGGAATTTTCAATTAAACTTTCAGGTCAGAGAGGGGGATGGTCTTATGCGGGTTCCTAAAAAGCCATTAAGGTTCTTGTTTTATCTTGATTTCATGTTCCTGTACTCAACTCAAAGCTAGGCAGATCTTTCCATCATCTTTTGAGATGCAGGTTAGTGCTGTACAAGACTTTATTCTAACATGGGATACAAAGTGGGACTCTTTAAAATCTCTATTCACTGGACCTTATATCTGAATATGACCTATTAGTTCTCCACCTCTTGGTTCTGGAGATCTTGCCCCCATAGATACATTTTGGTCAGGTGCTTTACCGTGCTGACAACTCGCAGCAGGCAAAAGAACTGGTAATGAAGGTAGGATGATTATCCCAAGGTGATGGATGGATGGATGGATGGATGGATGGATGGATGGATGGATGGATGGATGGATGGATGGATGGATGGATGGATGGATGGATGAAAAGGATAGTGCAACCACACGTACCACTGTGCTGCACTAGGCTGTACTAACTGGGATAGGAGGAAATGTAAGATTCCATTGCTATCTGGCTGTTCTGCAGTAAATGTCCAAAGTGCAAGACCTTTGCTCCACTTTCCTCCTTCTAGAAAAAGCTGGTTTTTAATGGTTATTCTTAGCTTAATTACTATCATAGTTGTTCAAGTAAAAAAAAGGAATGCAAAAGTGATGCTGTGTGTCTCTGAAAATTTCACAAGATTTGGTGATGAAAATCTCCCAACAGAGTGGAAATCATGGCTGTTTACTTCTGTAACATACAAAGAGCTTAAAGACAGAGAGTGATTATGAATAAATATTAGATGTGGATTTTAATACTAAATATTTCTTTTTCTTGCAATGCCATAAATTTAGATCTGTTGTCAGTAAGTTAAAGAAATGTAGTGAAAACTAAATTTACTGATTGTTCTTAACTTCTTTGATGAGAAGAAAGTTTTTTCTGACAGAAATTTCCACACAGAAGTTTAAGGCAACCAAGTAGTTGCTGTCACCTAGAACAAGCATTCCTGTGAGCGACCTTAATTCACAGAAGATAATTCTGTTTCTCTTCCTCTGATAATCAAACAAATGTACTGCTCTCAAAAACAGAAATTGCCTAATAGAGAAGTCTGGCTTGTTGAATTGTGGTATCTGTAGAAAAGATTGACTAAACAGATAAACAGGCTTTCATTAGAACTATGGTTAGAGCTGTCATTTATTGCAGATGTCAAAGTTAAATACTCATGTGTGAGAATCCAGTTAGGGCTCTTCAGGGTGTTGCCATAAGACAATTGAAATAGAACAGCTTCACAAATATATTCCACGTATACCCTCTCATCAATTTGGAATGCAGGACATTATTTTAGAATTCTCTTAATCAATAGTGCAGTAAACACTTGGATAATGAAGTCTATCCGTGTTTAGGAGAAGAAACAGTTACTTGGGGAAAGCATGGCTGTAATTCCACAAGTGTGTTTTTTACAGGGAGCACCAAGTGCTGTTTAAGTGCTTACTGACTTACATGGCTTCTATGATAGTTACGGGTGCTGTAAAGATCTTACAAAATGGTGTTTCTGTAGTGATTTTTACAGGGACATGTTATGCAAAGCAGATGTGTTTTGTCACCTGTTGAACTATGAAGAAGCACTGTACAAAAGAGAACCAGGACTCTCACTCTGCTGCTTTCCCAAAAAGCTCTTGTCTGGCAATTGTTTTTGCTCCTTGTAGTACAGGGTCTGCTGAGTGAATGTATTGCTTAGATGGATTGGATGTAAAGCACTGGCTACACTGGAAATAGTAGTAATGAAAAAATGTACAGATAACTTTCAAATGTATAAAGTATTTGGTACTCTGTATAAACATATGATTTTAATAAAACTCTTTTTATTGCAAGCTGAAATAAAAATGTATTTTTGCACATGGCAGGAGGGGGAATTCTAGCTAATCTGCAGAAAAATTTGATAGTTTTGGGATGTTTTAGTGGATGAAAGATAAATGATTTTGAAGTAGACTGCTGTTCTGCACACAGGGCTTTCATTTTCTAAGCCAGAGAGTGTGTGCAAACATGCATATGTTTGTTGTGTATGTATATAGATATGAATTATAGAATAATTTCTGAATAGTGAGTACTTTTTAAGTGGTAAAATTATTCTTATTGCTCTGGGTTGGTTGGGGTTTTTTGTTAATGAATGAGTCAATTTCACCCTACCCAACTATTGGTTGTAATTTTTTTCTCAGCATGATCATCTGCAACTAATACAATATAAATCTATAAAGCTTTAAAAAATCAATATTATACCTAGCATTGAATGAAGGCTTCACTAAAATCCATTCCAGGACTTTAAAGAAAGAGAAAGAATGAAGTGTTATTATTTATTTGTGAATGCAGCTGATTTTATTCTTCCCACCTCTTATTTGGTGCTATGGCACAAACTGTGATTTATTTTGCTCTGTTAATGCATATATATCAAATTCTCAGCTGCTGTAAATGTGTGCAGGCTCACTCAACAGGAATGCCTACTAAATCTTCAAAGAAAGTCCTTTATAGGCTATATTGTAGGTGGGGCTGCCATTACTACCTATTAAAGTGGTCTGACTTTCATTAGAAGTCCCTGTTACAATGGTACCAAAATTTAGCTCTTTAGACTGCAAGTTTTGTTGGGGTTTTCCCTTAGTTTGTGTCTCCTTCATTTCGCCAACGTTGAAAAAGGAAACAAGGTCTGCTTTTGCTCATGTCCGCATAGTTTCCTAGACTTGAATTATGGAGAAATTTTATTACATGTATATTTTTAGCTGTATAAAGGGTGTCTTGAATTTTGACACTCTACAGGTTATAGGTCTGTTCCTGTTGCTTAGGAGGGACTTCAGGTATAAGATTTTTCTCTGACTTTTTACTGGTAGTTTGGAAAACAGGAGCCAAGAAGAGGGAGGCAAAGGAAGATTAATAAAAGTAACTGGGGAAGGAGTGACTAACTGAGGAGATCTGACAGCTGAAAATATAGAGCATATTAGCTGTGATTCTGTGTCACCTCTTATTCTGTCTAAAGCAATTTCACTCAAACTTTTTGTGAGACTGGAGTGATTTTGATCTGGGTGATCCTTTAAGCCAAATTGTCAATCTCTGTGATGTTTGATCCAAGCAGGGAATGAAACTCACTCTTGTGTCTTGTTCAGCTATTCCATGTAGCTACAATACAAGTTTGGATTATGTGGCTGGGTAGTCTTTTTCATAGAACCCTTTCCATAGCTTGTGTTATCTGCGTGAAATGAGCACAGTCCATAATGATTACTTATTAAATTAAGCTGTTACTTGTGTCAGAAATTGCTGCACAGAAGTTGTTGCAGCACTTAAATCACAAGTAATTAGTAAAGGAGGAAGAAAATGGTCTTATGATTAAGGCTCACGAAAATGCTGTCATGATAATTCTCATATTAATTCTCAGTACTAAGAATATATTTGCATGGCAAACATTGGCCAGAATAATTGAATGAGTTTGGTGGAAAAATGGTATATAATCAGAAAACCTTGATATCAGTCAGCATAATAAGGATATAGAATGGACTGAGCTGACTTGCATAGGTTACTTCCTTCCCTAACTTTTGAACAGTCATTTTAGAAACATTACTGGTAACCCTCTAACTGTACTTTTGGAAAATATTATTGAAGTAACTGTGATGAATTTTTCAATCATGGACCATGTGCTTATAATCTATAATGTAAATGAAAAAAATGTTGAAGATTTTCTCATGTGGAAAGTCCACTATGAATCTATTGACATTAGTATTTTAAACACTGTTTCCATCCCAGAATATAAATAATATGTTGCTAAAATTTCATTTGGTTTCAAAAGCCTTAGGTCCATAAAAGAAGTACCAATGAAACTGTTTAGATTATGATTTCAGGATATTTGAATTTTAAGTTGGACCTAAAGAAGGAAGAGAAGACTTCTGGAAATAAAATGCCACTCCAGTCCTTGGAGTTAGAATGTGGTTCTTGTTTTTTAGTAAGGGACATTTTACTGTTTCTCAGCCTCCTGTTGAGGAGCACAATGCTTATCCAACTTAACTAATTTCTAACTGAATTAAAGCACTCTAAGTATTTTTCTAACCTAATGTCATAAATTATGAATATTAACTGGGGTAACAATCTCTTAGAAAGATTATGAAGTAACAGTCCTACAGTAACAGTTTTATGATGTTAATTTCAAATAGTGCTATTTTAGTGCTAAAACTGCACAAAAGGACATTAATTGTTTCTCATCCATATTGGTAAAAGCTTTATTTATGAAATAACACAACAGG